TCTGGTTGGGTCTTCAGTCATATATTTCCCCAGTACCTCCTTTAGAGGGACTAGTAATCCAGGCCTGGCCAATCACACACGGTATTCCAACTCCCTGGACATTCTGATTGGTCAAGGCATGTTCACATGAACCAGGCTGGACCAATCCAAGCCCGGCCCTGGGATTTTATCGGCAGACCCTGAGAACTCCAAGCTCTCTAGTGCCTCTGTGCTTGCCTTGGGCAGGATGTTTTGATGTAAGCCTGTCTGCCAGTGTCATGATCCTCCGCACCTTTGCACAGCTTCACTAAAGAAGTCCCTCTATAGAAGAATAGCAAGAGGCCAGATAGAGAGAAGAGAGACAGAAAGGGGGGGGGGGGGGAGGATGTTCTGATGACAACACAGGAATCAACGAATCCAACCCTACGCTTCCCACTTCTGTGAGCCAAACCATGACCTTTCTGACTTTAACTAGTTTTGATGGAGGTTTATACCAGAAACCAAAACGTTCTGCTCCCTAAATGCCCCATTGGTGTCAGTGATAGCAAAACGCCAGCCTGCTGCTCTGAGGGGGCTCAAGATCAAAGGCAGCTCCTTCCAGAAATCAGCCTCACAGAAAGAATTAAAAGAGAGATGGCCTATTGGCTGGACCCCACTTCAGGGTTTTAAGAATACCAATGTATTCTTAATGTAGGAATACCAATGCATAGATGTGTCCACCAAAATATTCTTCATCGCTGAGAAAAAAGCAAACAAGTTATCTGGATGATTTGGCTGGAACAGGCTTGGCATTTTTTTAAAGTCCTGTGCTTTGGGGCGCCTGGGTGGCTCAGTTGGTTGAGCGTCCAATTCTTGATTTCAGCTCAGGTCATTATCTCAGGGTCATATGATTGAGCCCCGCATAGGGCTTCACACTGGTCATGGTGCTTGCTTGACATTCTCTCTCTCTCTCTCTCTCTCGCTTGCTCGCTTGCTCTTGCTCTCTGCCCCTTGCCCCCACTTGTGCACTCTTTCTCACTCAAAATAAAAAGTAGGGGCACCTAGATGGCTCAGTCAGTTAAGCATCCAATTCTTGCTTTCGGCTCAGGTCATGATCTCACGGTTCATGGGTTCGAGCCCTGCACCAGGCTCCATGCTGCTCAGGATTCTCTCTCCCTCTCTCTCTGCCCCTCCCCCACTCTCACACTCTCCTCTGAAAATAGATACATTTTAAAAAATTAAATTAAATTAAAAATAAAAACAAAGTCCTGTGTTTTAATTTAAAAATCAATAAAGAAAAGGGGCACCTGGGTGGCGCAGTCGGTTAAGCGTCCAACTCTTGAGCTCAGCTCAGGTCATGATCTCACGATTTGTGAGTTCGAACCCCGCATCAGGCTCTGCGCTGAGGGCGTGCAGCTGCTTGTGGTCCTGTCTCTCCCTCTCTCTGCCCCTCCCAGGTTGTGCTTTCTTTCTCTCAAAATAAATAAACTTAAAAAACACAACCTATGAGGCAGTCTGGCGTTCTCCTCCATGGTATACTGATAATTGATACTTGTCTTAATTTATCTGAAAAGGGCTTCTAGGGGCACCTGGGGGGGCTCAGTCAGTTGAGCATTCAGCTTGGCTCAGGTCATGGTCTCACAGTTTGTGGGTTTGAGCCCCGCGTCGGGCTCTGTGCTGACAGCTCGGAGCCTGGAGGCTGCTTCTGATTCTGTGTCTCCCTCTCTCTTTGCCCCTCCCCTGCTTGTGCTCTCTCTTTCTCCCTCAAAAATAAACAGTAAAAAAAATTTTTAAAAAGGGCTTCTAATGAGCTATGAAGGGCATACCCTGTTTAAGCTGTGGCTGCATGCGCCCCTTGGCACATCGCTGCCTGCCCCAGACATGCCCACCTTGGGAAGCGGGATACAGGCTCTGGCCTTCAAGCCAAGAGGCAATACCACAGGGAACCCTAAGGGCAATCCTCTAGAACAGTGCAGTCGCCTTCCTCTCACATGCCCCACACCCTGCAGCTCACCTGCACACGTTCCTATCGAGGCAGCTTGGGGACCAGCTTGGGGACCGCCACCTAATCTTCGAAGGAAAATCTCATCACACCAACCCAGATTAGTGTCCCGGGGGTATTAGCGACCTCTGTGGCTCCTCAGCTGGCCCCACCTCAAATCCAGCTCTGTCTCCAACAGCCTGTGTGCCCAGCATGAGAAGGAAAATACGTACCTCTTTCTTCTTGCCTTCAGTCAGATGAGTGAATACAAAACTCCCTCAAAGGGGTGCACCTGGGTGGCTCAGTCGGTTAAGCGTCCGACTTCGGCTCAGGTCATGATCTCACGGTTCGTGGGCTCAAGCCCCGCGTCAGGCTCTGTGCTGACAGCTCAGAGCCTGGAGCCTGTTTCGGATTCTGTGTCTCCCTCTCTCTCTGACCCTCCCCTGCTCAGGCTGTCTCTCTCTCTCTCTCTCAGAAAGAAATAAAACATTAAAAAAAAAAATACTCCCTCAAAATGGTGGTATGGGGCAGTCATGTACGCACATCAATACCATTTCACCAGCCCCGCCTGAGTGTCTGTTATGTGGGAGGCCCTGGAGATGCCAAAGGGTGGAACGCAGTGGGTCCCCAGTGAGATCCCGGGCTCAAGTCAGCAGTGACCCTGCCGGGAGGTGCACGGTGGAGACACGATCGGTGTTTGGTGCTGTGAGTCCACAGGGACCTAACGGAGCCTTTGCATCCCATTTGCTGAGCATTGTATAGATTTGAGACTCAAGATCTGGACATGAAAGCCAGCTGCGTGGAGGCAAAGGAAAGAGGCTTCTATTCCAGCCCTATCGGAGTGCTTCGCACATAGAGGGGTTCAGGATTCTTCTGTCTACAGAGAAACACAGGAATGATTCATCCCTTTCCATTTCATGTACTCAACAACGTGGGTGAAAATTTATTGAGCGGCCCTGTTAGGAGCTCAGCACTATTGTAGAAACTAGGGATGTAGTGCAGAATAGGAGCGAGTCTCTGCCCGGGAAGAATACTCTCTTGCGCTGGAATAACACTGTACTGCCCGTGGTAATAGAATAACGGGCCTCGAGTACTCACCCTGCACCGAGCTGCGCTGCGTTCTAAGTAGGTCACAGAGCTGCGAAATGGCAGAGCCGGGTTATTGAACTTAGAAAGTCTGGCCCCTGCGTCTACCATCCATTAACACTACTACCCCACTAATTATTATTATTATTATACTCATTTCAATTTCATGAGCTGTCACGTCCCAGGCGCTATCCTAAGCAGCTATGTATATACTCAAGTATGTATCGAGCAACTGAGGCTTATAGAGAATAAGGAGCTCGCCCAGGTTCGCAGTGCTGGTATGAGGCAAAAATAAGACCAAAACCCGCGTATTCCTGACCCATGCACTTGGCCATTTAAACATGCACACTACCGCCTCCCCAGGATATAATTTTGGTTATTTGGGATGTTTAAACAGACCCAAAGAACATTGAAACAAATCATCCATATTAAATTTTGGGCGGTAGCCCCTCAATTATTACATTTCTCTGCTCTCCCATCCCAGAAACTGGTATCTTCTCATGGGCTCGCCTGGGGGGCCACTAAAATGAAGATCAACACAGCTCCCAGAGCAAATATCACTTTTCACTTTTGGAAAAGAACCTGACTTTGCCTCAGGGAGAAGGCGGTGCCTTTTGCTCTGAACTGGAAAAAGGAAAAGAAAGCAAGAAGAAAGCGTTTTGTAAGTGACGACTCATGCTCTCTCAGCAAAGCTCGCTCTTCCCCCGCCTCCCCTGGCGTGTCTGAGCCCCGCAGCTGGCCCGACTGCCTCCCTCCCAGGCCACCTGTCTTACCGGTGGCTAAGCCTGGAGGTGAAGGCGGCTGGTGAGCAAGCCCTGGAGCCTCCATGGAGGGCAGGGAGGGCGGGCAGAGGTACCTTCATTATGCGAAAGTTCCTTCCCACCCCAAAGGCAGGTGACACCCACAGCCCCGCCCCCCGCAGGCCCCGGTCATCTTTCCTGGCCATCGATTGGGCCCCTTGGGTCACCAGGCTGGGAAGACTACTGGGACTCGAACTCAGACAACATCACGGCCGATGGTGGCAGCAGCTTCCACAAGCTCAGATCCGTTCTAGACAGGAGAGGCTGTCCGGTTCCTTCTTGCAGGGGTGCCTTGTCCCTCCCTCCACCGCCTCTTTCACTGGCTCCTGCTCAGCCTCTGAATCTTAACGCCTGCCGCCTCCTCCGCCTGTGCCGGCCTTTCCCCCAAATTCCCCGGCGGCTGGTTCTTTCCAGTCAGTGAGTGCTCCTCTGGGGCACCTTCTCGCGGCACCCCCTCCCCGCTCCCACCTGGTCATCCCTCTCGGCCACCTTACCCTGCTTTCTTGTCTTTTTGGCACTGGCCCCACAAAGTCAGCATCAGAAGGAACTCTCAGGCTTTCCAAGTCCCGGGAACTTGCCTATTGGAAGCATTCACGGTGCTCTGCTTACCTGTCGTTCACACACACACACACACGCACGTGCACACACACGAAGATCGGTGACTCCAGGCTCGCCGCAACGCACTCAGTGGAAGAACCCGGGGAGCAGGAAATCCCAAAGAATGATTCCCCGTTTCCAGCGGGCTTGAAAGGGTCCCGCGTGGACCCAGCCCCACCCCAGCGGAGTCTGGAACCCAGGAAGGGAGGCTCCGTCTGCCTGAAGCCTCCCTCCGCAAACTCTCAAATCCCAGACCCGAAGACAGTCCGCCAAAGGCGCTGGTTAGGAAGCTTTGGAGAAAGGAACACGGGCCCGAGGGCCAGCCCCACCGCGTGCCCTGGGTGCGAGCCACCTCGCCTCCCTGTGCCTCAGTTTCCTCCTCTGTGAAAGGAGGCCTCTGGGAGGATGACAGGTAGCCGCACGCTCAGCCCAGGGCCCCGCACTTAGCGAGCGCTCAGCACACCGCGGCTGTTGACACCAGTTATTAAAACCTCTGTCTCAAGAGCTTCGAGGGAGCTTTTCCCTTGAAAACCTCCCCGCTTCTGTCTCCCCCGGCTCTGCTTGCACGTGAGACTCACCCGGGTGCGTCCGCTTCCGTCCCGCAGCGCCGCAGACTTGAAGTCCGGTTTGCTGCTGGAGTTGCCCTTGGGCTTTTATTTTTATGAGTTTTCCCCCTTTTCCTTCTTCTTTCTGTTAAAAAAATAAATCATTTTATTTTCGTAGCAGAGTTCATGTTTTGCCAAGGAGAAAACAAGCAAAAATGGCCTCCAAACCGTAGCAGTTCGGGCGGTCCCCTGGGCCCCGGGGAAAGGTGCGGTCTGGGAACGTGAGGTGACTCCGGAGCGAAGATGCGGGCCGGGGGGGCGGGGGGCACGGGCCCCAGGCCGCGGCCGGAAGCCGGAAGCCGGAAGCCGGAAGGGAAAGTCAGGCCGGCCCCACGGCCACTCCCCCCGGCCCGCCCCCAGGGGGAGGTGACAAGCCCACCTGCTGAGAGCCTGCCTTGGGGGCGGGACACTGCAGGCTCGCGGCAAATCCGCAGCTCCGTCCTAAGGGCAACGGCCTCCGCCTGCTCACGCAATCCACCAATCCAGGCGCTTTCTCCCTGCCTTCCACCGTGATTGGTTCAGGTCGCTCAGACCTGAGCCAATCAGCACACGGCATTCCATGGGCCGCAAGCATTGGTCAGAAGTGTCCAATCAGGGGCATCTGGGTGACTCAGTCGGTTAAGTGTCCCACTTGGGCTCAGGTAGTGATCTCACGTTGCGTAGGTTCGAGCCCCGCATCAGGCTCTGTGCTGCCGGCTCAGAGCTGAGAGCCTGCTTTGAATTCTGTGTCTCCCTCTCTCTCTCTCTGCCCCTCCCCTGCCTGTGCTCCCCGCCCCCCCGCCTCTCCCCTGCTCATGCTCTAAATAAACAAACAAACAAATAAATAACTTTTTTACAGAAAGAATTAAAATGGTAGAATTTAGGCAGGCACTTGGCTGGCTCACTCCGTAGAATGTGAGTCCAAGCCCTACCTTGGGCGTGGAGCCTACTTAAAAAAGGGGGCCTCCCTGTGTGGCTTGGTTGTTTAAGTGTTGGACTTTTCGATTTCTGCCCAGGTCATGATCTCGGGTTCTGGGGATTGAGCCCCTCATTGGGCTCTGCACTGACAGCATGGAGCCTACTTGGGATTCTTTCTCTCCCATTCTCTCTCTCAAAAAATAAATAAACATTAAAAAAAAAGTAAGATTCATACCCAAATCCATTAGTTCCAAAGCCCACATAAACTATACTGCCTCCCATGCCATTATCATAATCACACTTGGCATGTATGCTTTGGGGCCCAGAGATGGAGACACCTCAAAAGGATAGCAGTGATTGTATTACTTGGTAGGGTAATAGATTGTATCCTTGGTAGGCTAATAGATGATTGGTGTGTGTCTGTTTTTCTACATAGTTCCAAAGAAAAAGTGCAGTGACAAAGACAAAAATGAAAACCACAGCTGAAAGCAATTGGAAACTTTACAAATGTCTCTTGAAAATGCCCAGGGGAGGAATATTATCAGAATGATGAGCAAAACCATTTGACATGCGTCTCTGTATTGATTGCTTTGGGGATTTTCCTGGACCTATTGAGAAAAAGAACCCATCTTTCCCTTGAGTTTGCAATAAAGTTCTATGAGCTGTTGACAGCTACCTCACCGAGAGTCTAGAAAGCAGAAGAGAGAGAGAAAAGTTGAGAAAGTGAGACAGTGAGAAAGACAGCAAGGAAGGCTGAGAGAGAGTGAGCTGGTGACATCATGGAAGCTCATGGAACCAGGCTTGCCTGCCTCCTAGACTTTCTCTTTTAGGAGAGATTACACATTACCATTTTTGTTTAAGCTAGTTTGCACTGGGTTTGAGTTAAGTATCAAGAAAAAGGAGAATTGGGGAGCCTGGGTGACTCAGTTGGTTAAGCATCCGACTCTTGCTTTCAGCTCAGGTCACGATCTGTTTCGTGAGTTTGAGCCCCGAGTTGGGCTCTGCGATGTCAGCGCAGAGCCTGCTTGGGATTCTGTCTCTCTCCTCTCTCTCTCTGCCCCTCCCCGACTCACAGTGTCTGTCTCTTTCAAATAAATAAATAAACTTAAAAAAAAAAGAAAAGAAAAAGTAGAACAACCCAGCAGGCACATCAGGATTTTCCATAGTCAGTTGTGATATAAAAATAAGTCATAAATGTTCATGTGTTTATATGCAGGATTTTTTTTTCAAGGTCACGTATAAAATGTGATTTAACCAGTTTTAACAAAAACACATTTTTTTAAGGTGACACTCTTCCCCTTCTTTGGAACAGTTGGCTTTGAGCTCTTTCCTGAAGCCTGAGGCCTAAAGCGTTCAGAAAGCAGCTCTCTGTTGTAGGACTTCCCCGAGTTCCGCAGCCCAGGGTCTCTCCTGCCTCAGTTTCCCCACCTGCACCAGAAGGCCTGATCCTTATGAGAGATAGTGCAAATGCAGGCTTGGGAAGACTCCTGAATTCCGATTAATTAAAGTGTGGAGTGAGCAGCAGATGAAAGAAGCTTGTAGAACTCTTCAACAATCCTAATAAAGAATTTCCCCTTCAATTACAGGATAATTTTCTTAGCGCATTTGCCGCCATCACCAAGCAGTTTCCTGGGCCGCTTTCCATGCGGCTGGACCAGTCTTTCTGGAATCCCTACCTTTTGTTTTCTATAAGAGACTCAAGGGAAGGCGGTGAGGATGAAAAGAAAGGACAGTGGATACATTCTAGAAACGGCTATTTCACGGCATTTGAGAAGCTGCTGGAAAACAGGAAAATGCACAAAGACAACGTGGATCCGTCCGCTGATAGGTTCCTGCAGGTCTCGCTGGGGAAGGGTTTCCTTGAGTCTCTGCTGCCTCTCTCCCCTCTCCTGTCATTCCTACACAACACCACACCCGGGCCATTTGTCACTTCTGGATGACACCAAGATCTTCCTCCCCATGGCCTCCGTCCCTGCTCTTTCTTGGGCCTGGAATGCTTCCCCCTCCACAAGGCGCACACCTCACCAGGCCAACTGCTATTTAAGATTTCAGCTAACCAGTTCTGCAGCCCCTCCCTGGGGGGCCCAAAATAGAGTCATCCCCCCCCCCCGTATCAGCACCCACAGTTCTTCAGAGCACAAAGCACAACTGTAGCTAATTACGTTTCACTCATTATTTATCTCTGCCCCCTCCTAGTCTCTAGCCCCGTGGGGACAGCTTGCTGCCCTTCTCCAAGACTTGGCCGGTGGCGGATGGCTGGGAAATCCTTGAAAAGGTAAATCTTTCAAAGAATGTATTAAGTGTCTGGTACAGGTCCACAAACTTTTTCTTAAAGGGCCAGGTAGTAAATGTTTCAGGCCTTACTATCTGGAAGGCCACACGGAGGCTGGAGGCTGTTATATATGGTTCTTGGAGAAGCATTTTAAACATAACTGTTGAAAAAACGAAAGCACTGTCGTTAGCTCATGGGCTGTGAACAGACCGGCCAGTGGCCAGATTTGGCCAGTGGGACGTAGTCCACCAACCTTTGGTCGAGTATCTGCCAGGCCCTCTGAAGGGTTAGAGGGGTGGCCGAGAACGTCTGTCCCTTAGTGTCACCCTTGTCTTCTTCTGCAGGAACTGAACCTGCCCTTCAGGAAGGCACGGGGCCTCCTGGAATGAAAACACCGTTTGTCAGCCTCCTTTGCAGCTAGCCATGGCCACGGGCTGAAGTTTACTCAATGAGATGCAAATGAAAGCTTCTGGGGAATCTTTCGCAAAAGGTGGCTAGCATAGAGCCTCTCCCTGATTTGTTCTCTGTTCCTTCCTCTTTCCTGGTGGTTAGAATGTGGATGCAATGGACGGAGCTCCAGAAGCCATCTTGATCGGTGAGTGATCCTTGGGAGGGCAAGCCTTGGGTAGTGCGGCCAAACTACAGAAGGGCTGACTCCATGGAGTGGAGCCCTGGCCACACCAGACCTGACCCCTTCCTGCTGACCTTTCATACATTTTTTTAAATGTTTATTTCTTTATTTATATTGAGAGAGAGAGAGAGAGAGAGAACGCAGGGAAGGAGCAGAGAGAGAATCCTAAGCAGTGTCTGAGTTGTCAGCACCGAGCCTGACGTGAGGGTCAACCTCATGTACCGTGAGATGGTGGTCGAGCCGAGATCAAGAATCCGGCCAACTGACGGAGCCGCCCAGTGCCCCTCCTGCTGGCCTTCCAAGCGTGCAATTAAAATGAACACTTGTTCCGGGGCGCCTGGGTGATTTGGGGGTTTTACCTTCTTAGCAGCTCATTCTAGCCCTAGTAACACAGGACAGAGGGAGGAGAGAGAAGCCAAAGTGAGCAGGAAATATCCCTTCTCCATTCACACCCTAATTAAGAGAAGACAGACAGATACCTAGGTCTAACCCAATGGCCCGAACTCTCATAAGTGCCCGTACAGAGCCCTGGCTTAGCTCTCAGGGAGTCAGAAAGGCATCACAGAGGTAAGAGTCAGCAACAAGTTCCCTGTGTGTCAGGTGATTTCATACAAAAGTCATAAATCAGGGGGCTCATGAACCAGATATGACCTGCTGATTTGCCCAGGGTATAGACTATGCATGGTTTCCCCCAACTTTTTATTTTGAAAAGCTGTGCCCCATCCCCCAGCCCTGCCAGGGTGCAGGGGTGGCTCAGTTGGTTAAACATCTGACTCTGGGTTTTGGCTCAGGTCGTGATCTCACGGTTCGTGAGCCCCATGACAGGCTCTGCGCTGTAGGGAGCATGCTTGGGACCCTCTCTCTCTCCCCGTCTTTCTACCCATACCCTGCTCTCTCTCTGTCTCTTAAAAGAAATAAACTAAAAACAAACAAACAAACAAAAAGAAAAGATGCCCCTGCAAAACACATACACACACAAAAAAAACAAAAAACAAAAACCAAAGAACAATGAACACTTGACTATCTTTCCTTAGATTCTCTGCTCGATACTCTCCTCGCATCGCTTTCTCCATATTCATATGTGACTGACACTGTGTCTGCATATACACACCTGTGATGAAGGACGTCCTTTACATGAACCACAACACGTTTTCACACTATTAATGTGAAGTGTTAGATGTGTGATATGTATTAGCATGATAATAGCACGCTATTATTCTATTATCATACCAACATAATAGTACACATAGCATTACCTACCACACAGCCACATCCCCACGTCCCCAGATGTCCTAGCCTAGAACTTGTATTTAAGTCTCCTTCCATCTAGAACTATTCTACTGTTTTTGGGGGGAGGGGGGTTGTTGTTTTTTTTTAAGATTATTTCTTTATTTTGAGAGGGAGAGAGAGAATCCCAAGCAGGCTCTGCACTGTCAGCACAGAGCCCGACGAAGGGCGCAAACCCACAAACCTCAAGATC